ACCATCGCACCACTAGGCCGGCCCGAAGACTAGACATTTTAAGTAATGTGTCCATTGTGGAAATCAGAATGCTCCTCCAGGATTTGTTGTTACTCTTGCTGTTTATTTTTGTTCATGTTTACTTGTTTAGTGAGTTTTTGGAACCAAGTGTTAAAGTCTGAATTCTTTGTTGTTTGCGCCACTAATTCTCTGCCTGGTTAGCTTAGTGTTGCTAGTTCATAGACACTGTGGCACACCTTCAGCTCTTAGTCAGGGAGTTGACAACTCTGCCTTAGCATTCAACTCCTGGTTGCACAGCCTGAAAGTCAGCCAGAGTTGAATGCTTAAGGGCTTTTCATGTCTTTCATGAGCATGTGTACAATTCTACACATGTGCATTGCCTTCTTGATTCCCATAAATAAGTTGTAGCTTTTCAGGGCCCCTATAGACAACTCATTACCAGCTTTTATTTTTAAGCTTTTCAGTTTGCTTTTTTCTTTGCCCCAATTGTTATCTATTGCATCGGGCAGGTGTGAAGTAAAATAACAGCCTCTAAAAATTTTCAACAAATTCTCCTGGAATATAGGTTTTTTCCATCAGATGATCTCAAGTCAGATGAAATAAAGACAAGCCTTGCAAGTGGGGTCTTCCAGGAAGCTACCAGAAAGGTAAAATAATAACAGTTTCCTGGGCATGAGGCTTTGAAGGAGCGCCATCTCTGTTCTGCCTCCTCTGGGGGCAGCCAGGCTCCAAGTTTTCACCATGATTGTGACCTGTATGCTTTTAAGGTTACTGTGGAGCTGAAGATAGGGGAATAGGAATGGGCCAAGTTAAAATGCCACAAAGCTCACTGTTCTTACTAATAATCAGCTTTCTTTCTTGAATAACTTCTTCTTGGATAGCTGCAAGCCTTTGGTTCATTTTCAGGGTTCTGAAAAAGTTGATTATGACAATTTTTACCAGTTTTCCCCTTGTTTTTATGGAGATGGGAATTGTTGAAGGTCCTTACTCCTCCAATTTTGCTGACATCATCTGCTATCTGGGACCTTTAGAATGAGATGTTCTTGGAGACTAAGCACACTGGAACCCAATTTATATTCTTTCTAGAAGACAATTTATATTCCAAAATAAAAACTGGCATTTTTGAACTTTTAAAATTAAACCATAAAGAACTGAGTCCCTTGAAGATCTTAGAAGTCTGTCAATTCAGTTTCCAACTCTATACACCTTCTTTAAATTTCCTTATAACAATTTGCCTGAATTAATTCTGATACCTATTTTTAAAACAAAAAAGTCAAATTTAATTAGTGGCTGAGCAGACTAAGAGATAAAATGTGTTTAATTAAAAGTTTAAGATAATAATCAAGGAATTTCATTAATGGGGGTTGTGTATGTAAGTACAAAAATATCCTCCAATCAGAAGTAATAGACTAATATAAATTCACCCACATTTCATTTAATAGAGGCTTATTCATTTCATGTTCATAAGCATCAATTTCACTTTTTTATACATATGAAAAATGCAGCTCTCAACCATTTAGGAATAATATACCTTTGTAGGAATCTAATAAAAGCTATAGACTCTCTTCCTGGAAAAATGAACATACATATATAATTCTGCTTACAATTTGAGGGATTCTTTAATATTATGCAATTTGTAAGAACCCATACTGAACAAAAAATGATGATTTCAATGGGAGAAATACAGAACAGGTATTTAAATAATTACATCTCATGTTCAGTAGAGCAATGGGAATTTAAAATACAAAAGCATATACAAGTGGTCTCCAACTAATGTAGACATTTCATTCAAAAGCTAATTTGCACATTATGTATTCAGAATTTATTACATGTTTTTCTTATAAAAACAATGCTAGAAGCAATGGCTGCAAACTATTAGACTGTAAGCCTCTTAAGAGTAGGTGCTGTTTTTATTTGTCTTTGCATTATAATGACCTATCCAAATAAACAGGATATGCTAGGCTCCCAGGTGACCCTTTATAAAACTTATTTTAGTCAATAATGCATTTAAATAGAAATGCACTAAGAAAACAAGAAAAAATATTGAGGCAATGACTAAGATCAAATAAACCACAAAGACAAAAGTAAAAGAAAAAAATAGAAAAGGAAAGACTATAGAATAAAATAGATTATAAATTATCTGTTGCTTGAGACAGTCTTAATTCGAATAGAATGTAATGGTAAATGCAGTTATTTCTAGATATTCCTAGTTGAACTTATGTATTCCTTTTTGCTGTGTTAAATTTCACTTTAAAACATGTTTCTTCATAATACAGTATCTTCTGTGCTTAGCCACAAATGAGGTCATTTTTGGACCCTAACAATTTGTAAATGGACTGGAAGGGCAAAGGGGATAAAGTGTTTTGCCTGTAGTGACTGGAAAAGAGTTGAAAAAATTTGGGAGTGGGAGACACTGTTCCAAGAAGTTTTATATAACGAAATAATTTATTATTTCTTATATATAATATGTCTTATAATAAAATGTGTCCAAATTAGAATAAAGTAAGCTAGTGTGAACATGAGTAGTGGAAGATATGGTAACTCTGTTGCAAAAAAAGGAACAAAGAAAGAAACGAAAAGAAAAGAAAAAAGAAAAGATAGAGATGAAATTTTGATTCTGTTTCTTAGTCATTGTGAGTCACTGTGCTAAACAAGATGGGAAAACTACATTGTGGTGCCATAAATATAAAGGACCAATTGCACATTTTCATTTGAATAACACTGAACTCTGATGAAAACCAGACAAAATCATGAGTAATATATAGAAGTCAACTGGAAATCATTTAATATCTATAGGTTGTGGCCCTACCACACAGGATCAATGGAACAACCTGACCTTGTCTTCAGAACAGGGCTTGAAGACATTTATATAGCTAAATTAATGCAGGAGCGAGCTACAATTTCCCATATATTATGACTTAAAGATAAGATTTAAACTAAGAGACATGGACTGCATGCCAACCCCTTCTTTTTTTCCCCCTAAGTTTGGCATTTGACTCCCTGACTAGGTGATAATTAAAAGAGGCTCAGCCTGGCAGTCTGGGTCTATAGCTCCAGAGAACCCTTGCTGAAGAAATCTATCAATAAACAACCTCAAGCAACTGAGAAAGTAATTAATTGTCTCTCTAAAAAATCTCTTTAGCCTGGAGAGAATCAGAATTAGGTATAATGCTGCACTAAATCAATATAATATAGGTATATTGAGTAACTGATTTAGACTTATGATTTTAAACTAGAATCTTATTAAGTTCATCAACAGTATCAGAACATTTAAGAGAAATAAAGATTAAACACATCTATATGTTTAATAAACTAGGTTTATGCAAAATTACCTCAGTACTCAAGGAAGTTTTATTTATTAGTTGACAACTGAGGTACAGAAAATCAAATACAGGATAAACTTAAATGCAGTTAAAAAGTTTTTCAGAAACATAATTTAGTTGTAAAAACCTGCTTAGAAGTAAATTTTAAATTCTGCTAAATTTATAAAATAATTTTTATGCAAAAGTAATAGCCAATTCCATAGTATGAAACCATAAAATACAAAATCTCTAAATCTAACCATAAGATTTTAAAGATTAGGGCACTCAAAAAAAATCAATTAGTGATTATTTACAAGTAACAACCTCTAAGAATCTTTCATAATCAGCATATGAATAATTCAAAGGGTTATAAAAGTATTTAAAAGTAGCAATCCTGGAAAAAGATCTGCAGGAACAGATTAACTTGAAGCTCATACTATATGGATTTCTATTGGTTCGTTGGGGAAGTCATGACGTAGTTTTGTATGTTTTTCAATGCAAAAATGCGTCATGACTTTCCCGAGGACCCAATACTTCCCAAAGTGAGATAACTGGATAAAATATAATTAGGCTACTCTGCCTTAGCTTTTCCAATTTAAACTCGGCTGCATTGCTCTTGGGATTAAAAAAGAAAGGACTAAAGAAGGATATGTCTTCTACTGGACTGTGAAAAAGTCTAAAGTTAGAAGACAGGCTAATTAGAAAAATTAATATAATTGTGCCATCTGAAGTATGAGCATATATGAATCATGGCTCTATGAAACTATGGGCTTAAAACCTGTAAAAAATAAACACCTAAAATGATTACATACTGTTTATAAATATTCATACATAAATATGATCACCCAAATCAATGTTTTGAACAAAATTTTAAGTCCTGCAAGTCCTAAAGTACTAATCTTTCAAATTTCCACATATACACCATAAGTGACAATACGCCAAAGCCAAACATGATATGAGTCTTTCAGTTCTATTTGATCATACTCCTAAAGGTAGTAAGTTAAGTACCTGAAGAAAATTCATCTTAGAGGATTTTCAGAGAAAATTCCTCTGAATCTGCAATTATCATATCTTTGCATTATTTCCCCTTCCTCCCTTCTCATCCCATGTTCTATATACCATAGTACTCAAAATTAGACCCTAAAACATATATGTTCTGATTTCACTTTCTTCCTAGTCAAAAAACATAGGCCTATAAGCAATCCTAGATGACTTTATAACCTTATAATCACTCTAGCTATCTTTCAAATACTACGTTCTAGAATTCTGACAGACCAGAATGGAGTTTAGGCTGTCTCCACCCACTTCCCACTATATTACACCCTCCGCTTCCCCACCCCCCAGATGAAGGTTAGGTTGATAAATGGATTTGGGAGATGAAATAAAGCCAGACATCAAATAACTTACTTGAAATCCATCTCTTACCTTCTGTACTTAACCCTGGACTTGATGTGAACTTGGCTACATCAACAATTTTTACAGCAAATTGTTGCCCAGTTTCTCTGTTGATACATCGCCGTACAACACTGAAGGGACCCCTACAAAAAAAAAGAAAGGCTAAGTTTAATTCGTTGGTTTTCTGAAGTTCCCATTTCCCTTCAGCATGTTACTGATATTTCACTGTCTACTTTAGCCATAGCTTTCAAAACCAAATTTAAGTAATGTAATTCTGAACATATTTTTCTATAATTCATGAGGTAAGTAATTCACAAAGTTATTAAACCAGAATAACAGAAAACAAATTTGCATTTCAAAATTACTTTTAAAAATTCTAACTAGTATTCTTATATCCAAGGCAAATAATCTTTATAATATTCTATACATATTATGAACATCTTAAACAAAAGGTGTTATCAACCATTGGTAATATACATGGCTTTTATATTTTGAACCAGAAACTTAGTCATTCTTGACCCCTTCCTTGCATTGCACCCACCACTTTTCTAATCTTTACTAACAAGTCCTATTAAGTTTATCTCAAATATCTCTCTTTGTTTGTTTGTTTTTTAAGCTGAGCCATCCTGCCACCTGTTGGCAGCTCAGGGGCTGCTCAGCTCAGGCCAGGCATCGAACCGCTGTTGCTCAGAGCTCAAACTCTTGAGCGAGCTCTTAACCAACTGAGCCACTCAGCCGGCCCTCAAATATCTCTTAATTCTGTCCACTTCTCTCCATGGCTCACACCCTAGTCTAAGCTACTACCATTTTCTACCAGAACTGAAAAATTTGTTTCTCCCATTCATTCTTGCAGTGATGTTTTAAAAATAAAAATCTGATATTATGTTTCTGCTTAAAATCCCAGAGACAGGAGGTATGTGCAATACATATATTTAGTCAAGAACTAAAATATATAAATCATTCCTAAGTAAAACACAAGAAAATATACCTTAATAAAATCTGGGCAAAACACCTGAATAGGCACTTTACAAAGAGAAAGTCCTACATGATTTGGTCTCTAAAAACCTTTCCGGTCTCACCAGAAGTCACAGGGAAATCCTTCATCCCCTGCAAACTTCAAATCAGAATTGTTTTAAACTGCTGAAAGGAAGTAATTTCTAACAGCAAAGCATCACTGGTCCAGTCAATTGCTTTCCCAGTCTCTCCTCAATCTGAACTGGTGGCTCTCAATATAGGCCACACAACTGAATCAAATAGCTGACTGATAAAACACCAATGCCCTGACCCAGGCATTAAACCCCACATACATGCATGCATGCACACATAGTTCCTTGTGATTAACAGCTATCAAATAAGTATCCAAACTAAAGATAATCCAAAAATAGATTTGTATAGACTACTGAATACACTATTGAACAATACAGAATGCAATAGCAATGTACTATAGTTTATTTGAAAGCTAACATTAAGTCATTAAATACACACACATGTACTTTTATATACATGGGTGTATTTTCCCCCTTTTCAAATGAAACAAAACACCTTCATTGGCTTTTATAGGTGAAAACATTACACCTAGATACATGTGGTCAATCAGCAGATACAGAAAGGTTCATTTATACTAGGATACTTATGATACTGCTTGCCTGAAAATGTAAGTTTGTCTTTTTTCTTCCAATTAGAGGAGAAGCAAAAGAATATAATCTAACCCAGACTTAAACATTTTTCTGAGATCATATAAATTTGTTGATTTCACCATGCCATCATCAGGCCATCAATTACACCAGAGCTTCAAATCTCTTTTCTGGAAGCAACCTAACAAAGCTAAATTGGAAGGAAAAGAAATGGTAATAATATACCTTTCAGAACTCTATAGAAAGAGGACCTTTTTGATAATCACTCAAAACTATTCAAAGATTTTCCTCTATGAGAAGACAATATAACAAAGTGAGACAGGACTCCCACAAATGTTTTCATTCTCAATCTGGGATGTCTTACTTGTGATCACTTATCCCAACAATAGCAATTTCAAGAAAAGCTTAATGTAATTGGTTTTGTCCACACATAAACCCTTGGGACTCTATATATACATTTGTATAGTGTGCTTCAATTCACTACATCTTTTTGGAAACTTTCCAAGATCTGTATGTGGGATTATTTGTGGTCAATCGAGTCAATTCTTTACTTTTTCCTGTTTGAACAAAGGCGAGGAAGAAAGTATAGCTTTTCTCTCCACTCTTTTAATAATAGCAAAGTGAAGAAAGCTAGGGAGAAGGGAAAGAAAAGGGAATACTAAGACAAAAAAACAGAAACGTATTTAAAGCTGTGAATAAAAATTGAATCAAATCCTCAATTCTCTAGGCTAATTTTATAATGTGAGGCAAAGAAAATTAGGTTATCTATGAATTATTGATGACACAAACAGAGGTCACAAGAAAAGCATTTAAGTCTTCGGTCTTTCAACGACATCCAGGGTGTTAGCAAAGGTGAACCAAATTTAGTACACTAAAAAGACACTGAAATATACTTTAAGTTTTTGTATGATTTAATCCATAAACTAGAAACTCAATGGAAACTAATAAACATTTAAATGAGTAGATAGTGCCTACAATTTTAGCAGGACTTGGTTTAAGGAGCAGCAAAAATTCAGAAGGCCCAGGTTTCAGTCTGGCCTAAACTTTTTGTTGAAGGTTGACATTCATGCTTAAATTTTTTAGGCTATGGTACAGGCAATTCTTGAGTATTTTTGTGGGGGGAAATATTGATAGAGCTACTTAAGCCATCATCATAAACTACGATCTTTCTCCTGTTTCCACAAATTCTGGCCAGGGCATTAATCAAAATGGAATAAGATAATTGATGGCATTTCGGATTTGATGAAATATATATTCTTTATTCAACTCTTTAAGAATACTGAATATTGACTGTGATTGTGGCACAACGTTCTACTTGAGGTGGCTGCTTGTAGAATTCTGTTTTTAAGTAAAAGGTCAATTAAAACCAAAATATGTTACAAGTGAATACTGCTATAACATCTCTAAGGTTTTGAAAGGAGGCAATAGCCGTGCCTCTATTCAGACACAGAGTAATCTTTAGTTTTCATTTATGTGAAGAAAGGGTAAGTCTAGGAAATGAACAATTCTGATACCAAAAGTAAATATATCAAAAAGGTGACTAGGATTAAAAGAAATTATGCTAGAATATAGTATGTTGGTTTCCAGGTAATGGGATAGATATTACACAATGCATCCAGTTTATTTTCCTCCCCAAATCCCACTAAAACAGTACCAAGGAGTTAAATTTTCTTTTTTAAGGACTGGGAGAATGAGAGACAACAATAATAAAATCAAACTGGAGAAGCAAAATGCAGATGGAGTAATGGTAAATGGCTTAGCATACTTGGGAAAGCTGAATTGTCAAGAGAAAATAAGGAAAGTTTAGAATCAAACCCATTTACACTACAGAATTCTCAGGTAACATTTGAACTGGTAGCACTAGATAACCCTGGAACTAGAAGGAGAGGGTGGGGCTAAAACAACAAGGTTTGACTGAAATCTATCAGAGAAGCCCCTCCTTACCCCATGCCACTGGATAAATGCGCCACTCTCATCCTCACAGAGGTCCATTCTCTAGAGAGGGTAAAACATTGGGTCTTAGAACTAGGGACACAAGGCAGTTGAAGAAGTGGTTACTACATGGGAAAGCAAGGGGATTATGTGATCACACACAAAATGAATACAGACAGCCCCAGCCCCTTCGGCCTTTAATAGGGGGGAATGTTAGAAGCTAGATCTTTATCCTTCAGGCAGGAGGAAAGAGTTTCTGTTAATCCAATCATCCCAGAAGACCTAAAAATGATGACATGAAGTTGTTCAAACTGTTCAACCAGATTATCCTCCCTTGAAACCCAAAGTCAGCAAGTTCTGCCTGCAAGTTCAGGGCTCTCAGTCAGCTTTCAGTTCCTCTATTGCAGCTTTCCCATCTTGTCACTATTGACATTTTGGGCTGGATAGTTCTTTGTTGTGTAAGGATGTCCTGTGCTTTTTAGGATGCTTAACAGCAACCCCAGCCTCTATCTTCTAGATGCCAGTAGCACCCCCTCACCCAGTTTTGACAACCAAAAATATCTCCAGACATTGTAAAATATCCCGTGGGGGGAAAAGTACCCAATTAACTACTATACAGGGGGCCAGCCAAGTGGCTCAGTTGGTTAAGAGCGTGAGCTCTGAGCAACAGGGTCACCAGTATGATTCCCACATGGGCCAGTGAGCTGCGCCCAAGTTACGCTGATGCCGAGCTGCCAACAGGTGGCAGGATGGCTCAGCTGGTGAGAGCACGTGCTCCTAACAACAAGACCTGTTTGATGGTGGGCGATGCCCGCCTGCAACTAAAGACTGAACTTGGCACCTTGAGTTGAGCTGCCACCTGGATAGCTCAGTAGATAGAGCATGCGCTCTTAACAACAAGGCTGCTGGTTCAACTCCCGCATGGGATGGTGCCTATGCCCACCCGCAACTAAGACTGAACTTGGCACCTTGAGCTGAGCTGCTGCCCAGATGGCTCAGGGGATAGAGCGTGTGCTCTTAACAACAGGGCTGCTGGTTCGACTCCAGCATGGGATGGTGGCTACGCCCACCTGCAAATAAAATTGAACACAGCACCTTGAGCTGAGTAGCCATGAGCTGCCAGTGGGCGGCCGGATAGTGACTGGACTTAGAGCTGAACTTAGCTGCACCTTCCACAACTAAGATTGAAGGACAACAACTTGGCTGTTCCCCTTCCCCAATTCCCCAACACTGTTCCCCTTCCCCAATAAAATCTTTAAAAAGGGAAAAAAAACCCAAACTACTGTTCTGGCAGCTGGGTGGCTCAGTTGGTTAGAGCGCATGCTCTGAACAACAAGGTTGCTGGTTCGACTCCCACGTAGGATGGTGGGCTGTGCCCCCTGCAACTAGATTGAAAACAACGACTGGACTTGGGGCTGAACTGTGCCCTCCACAACTAGATTGAAGGACAATGACTTGGCTTGGAGCTGATGGGTCCTGGAAAAAACACACTGTTACTTAATTAAAAAAAAAAAAGAACTACTATTCCTAATCATGAGTAGACACCCAAACTCCCAAAGACATCTGGAGAAGTTTCC